GGAAGAGCTCATCCTAGCGATGGAGAACATATTTCATCTACGACCCCTCCCTCATAAAAGTCCGTCCATTAAAGGGTAGTCTTCTCCCATCAAGTTCCAGAAGTAGTTGCAAGCCGCCGACTAAACGGAGGGTGGCAAGCGTACGCGAAACGGAAAAAATCATTAGTGAAAAACTTTCGTCACACACAATCAGAAATACCTTACACATCAAAAATCGAAAATGTTACTACTCGTAAAAAATCGAGAAAACTTCCCAGGCCAAATAAGAAATCTACCATCCCCTCCCTGTCCTGACCCCTGATCCCTAGAAGGTCCCTAATGGCGAGTAAGCCACTCGAATTTGCGAGCGAATGCATCATGAAAGAAGGGAAGTTTTGAGAGTTCTCAACCTTTCGTCAAGAGGGTGCATACGTGAGAAGTCAGAACAGCTTCAAAAGTCCAGACTACTAAACAACGCAGGGATAAGGGTACGCATCACAAGCACACGCGACCAGGATTCCACTGTGGGGACAGGGATGTTGCACCCACAACAATCGCTTCAAGCCCAGTGCAAAGGAATCATCTAGAGAATAGTGTACAAGGAATGGACATTGTTCAATACTGAAAGGAATGAAACGACGAAAGGGTGCCGACTGATGCACATGAAACTAATTATTCTGGATGAAATCTAGATGATCTTCTTGAAAACACAGTCCATGCAGTGCAGATGGGCGAAGCCAGGCCTGTTTTCCTCAAGAAAGGAGACTCGCACCATTGAAAAGTGAGGGCTTGACCTCGTCCCTGATCAGCGTAGACTGTGCTTCAAGCTGAAGCATCACAGCGCTGATCGATTCTTTAAGCATTGAGAAGTTTATCATCGTCGAAGTCGTCATCGGATTTTATCAGCACTGAAAATAGGAAGTGCAGTTCAATAAAACAGAAACCGTTTCTATTGTAGAATTTCAGAAAGAGGATGAAATTGTATTGACAGGGACGGTCAACCACATGCCATCCTCATTGGTGCATCCGTTAAAGAAGAGCGTAACAATGAGGAAGGTGTTATTGTAAGTCGGATCCCAGACTAGCGAAGGCGGTACCTTTGAACCTTATGATAAGAATATTTTCAAGCCACTGTTGTCATGAAAAAATGCTGGCTTTCGCCCACAGTTCTGCTGCTTTCGCCCACAGTTCTCGCTCCAAAAACCATCTCAAAAATGCTCAGTCAAGTAGCTTTCAAATCTCGCGATGACGCGCGTCGACGCGCTACCATTGCAGCAGCGCTCCAATGCTAGACGGAGAAGAATAGAGGGGTACCAGACTGGGTGATTATGCAATGCGTACCCTCCTGTTCTCTTATTCTGTCCTCAAAATAGTAGTGGCCGGTCCCGATGGATACCCTTCTGTGGCTGCTATTTCATCTATGGACACCAAAGCGCTATTGCAATGGTAGCGTAGCGCGTCAACGCGCTTCATCGCTAAGTCTAAACGCTGTTCCACGGTTAGGAAAATGTGTGCGAGCCTACCAATCACTGCAAAAACTGGAGTGCTTCCACTGACTGTGGGTGAAGGAGGAGGAACTACCACAACAATCACGACCGTAGGGCCGGTTTCGATTCGTCATGCATGAGGAACGTTATGCTTCAACTTCAGTTATCCTGTTGAGATGGGTGGGCCGTCTTCCAGTGTGGGCGGAGCTTCCTTCTACAAGCCCTTTTTGCGTTTTTCTTCTTTGCACCAATTTTTAAGAGCGTCAACGTTTCTCATAGATATGAGCACGGTTCGCACTATGTCGCTCTCCTATGGATATTCAAGAAAGGAGGGGAGCATTTAGTTCGAACACGGGGTATGCAGTCTCCCACGCGAGGAAGTTCCCATTCAAAAATAATAAGAGTAAATAATAATCAAAGTAATAATGAGATGAACTGACATTTGTTAAAGAATGGAATGGCCAGGAAGGCGAGTATATTGCCGGCGATGTAGACGTACAATAACAAATCGAGCCAGAAGTCCGTAACAAAACTCGTCGCAACATTTTGCCAGCATCTCTGCAATGAATAAGAGGATATTATAGAGAAGGTCCTGCCACGATCACTAGAGCGATTCATGCTGACCATCACAATATCCAGTTCACAAGAATGTTGAAAACCACACAGTAACTGATTATAGGAGAGTGTTCACGCAGTTATTTCACTAACACAATCCATCATGCATTGAAAGCCAGACAATCCAGATGACTGGGCCAGACATGACCCGGAAAGAACTATGTGACAAGGGTTGGCTGTAGATTCTGGGTAAAGGGACTGAATGAAGGGATGGGATGAGCTGGTAGATTGACCAGCTGTTCCGCAAACTGCTCCCTCTCTTGTACCAAAAGGGTCAACTAAGGCCAATGTGTAGAGAGTAACTTCGAAAACTGCTGATCAACCCTTCAGCAGGTCCAGTCCCAGAAAACAAGGTTGCAGCCCTCTGAGCCCTACCTTACCCTAATCGACATTTTTACCAAGTGAAATATTCCACAGAGACTACAGAGCGATTCTATAAACAATTGAGCAGCTATCTTGGATCGTCCAGAATACGCATGCGAAATAATCCAATAGGGTGGCCGGGGAGTTTTGCTAAGTTCTTCAAACTCCAAAGCCTAGTTCGAGCTTGACATTTGGGCGGGAACAGTCAACCGTTGTATCTTAGCGCTTCCCCATCTTTACAACCTTTGAGCGAGGTATGCAATAATAAGGGAGACGTGGCGGTAGGACTGACTCCGCCTATACCACTGGCGTGGACCTTGCCATGATATGGGTTCACTGATTCAGAGAGAATCTGCCCGATGTTACTGAAAACGATACCCAGGGTAATGATTCCTGCATCACTTACGTTTACTTATACTTGACGTAGCTCTATTCCACGTAACGCAACCAAACCAGGGCACGCCCTGCAGTTGGAGGAAGTTACTCCGACTGAATATGACGGCTTCCCCGTTCCCTGGAAAAAACGACTACTATCCTCAACCTACAAGACGCTACTTACCAGCTTCTTGATTTGTTTCAAATTTTGCCGTCTGAAGAGAAAGAGGTTACAAACACACCTTAGACCGGACAGACATCAGGAATCAATAATTTTGCGGCGCCGCCAACTGCAGGAATAAAGCACGCGCGTTGAACGTCAAGCGGGAAGGAATCAACGACCGGGAAATCTTCTCGCAAAGCCAAGGTATAAGCCCCCTCCGCCAAGCGACCACACAATACCAAAAATTCTGCCATACGTATGCACGTACTTTGAACTTGAACCTATGGTAAAGTAATCATCGATAATTCAATGGTTTTAAGCCCATCTCAACCAAAAACGCAACGTGCTGAGAACATCGCAGCTTCGCAGTCGGTAGGCGTCAGTTTAACGCCTACCGGTCAGGTCTGATTCACCACCCTGGTCGCAAGTTAGCGGCGGAAGGGGGGGGGGGAGGAATTACGCACATTTGCGCTTTCATTTGTCGTGCCCATTGTCTTTCAGGAGCGTTACAAGTATTTCTTACACTAAAATAAAATATTAGGTTGTCCGGAAAGTTCTCAGCGTTTTGGGTGTTTCACTTTAAACGATCGTAACTTTCTTAATACTCATCGGATTTAATCGAAATAGGCACCATTCGAATCAGCACACTTTTGCCAATGTGACAGCAGTCGAGAAATCCCATCAAAATAAAAAACTGGGTGGTCGAAAATTCACGAAATCCACGAAGGCTTTTTGCCTGGTCCTAATTGATGAAGTATTTTCCAGCAAGGAAGTTCTGAAAATGTTTGAAAAGGTGATAGTCGGTTGGTGAAAGGTCTGGAGAATATGGCGGTTGAGGTAGAACTTCAACCCCCAATTTATGGATAGTGATTTGTGAAACGTGTGGGCGGGCGTTGTCATGCAAAGGAATCGGACCCTTTCTTTTGATAAGTGTTGGCTGCATCTGACAAAATTTTCGGTACAATTCGTCGATTTCTTCACAGTAGGGTTCTGCTGTGATGGTTTGGCCTGGTGATAAAAAGTTATAGTGGATCACACCAGCCGATGACCACCAAACCGTGACCAGAATCTTTTTTCGTGGGTTCGGCTTTGAAAATTACCTCGGTGGTTCGTCGAAATCCAACCACTGTCCGGAACGTCTCCTGTTATCATACATGATCCACTTTTCATCACAGGTGACAATTCGGTCCAAAAACGGGTCGTTTCTGTTGCGCAAAAGCAGTGAAGAAGACACCCACTTGTCGAGTTTTTTTCACGTTCCCAATGCTTTTCAGACCATCCGCAACCCAACGCCTAGCTTTTCTGCAATCTCTCGAACTGTTTGGGATGGGTCAGCCTCCACAAACGCCTTCAAATCCTCGTCAGGTATTGCTTTAGGTCGACCGCTACGAGGTTCATCTTCAAGGCTGAAATCTCCAGAAC